TCGATCTGTACCCGAGATGATGCGCTGACAGAATATAGCTGGGAACCATTGATGACCCCTTCCTCATCAGCATGATTACCACTATCGTCAACGTCTGCTCGACCCCCGTCTCCTTCTACACAATTGAGAGGTTTGGCCGCCGTTCGCTCCTTTTGTGGGGAGCACTTGGCATGGTCATCTGCCAATTCATTGTCGCTATCGTCGGCACCGTGGACGGCAGCAACAAGCACGCTGTCAGCGCAGAGATTTCCTTCATCTGCATTTACATCTTCTTCTTCGCTAGTACGTGGGGCCCGGGCGCCTGGGTTGTGATTGGCGAAATCTTCCCCCTGCCTATTCGGTCGCGTGGTGTGGCTCTGTCGACGGCTTCAAACTGGCTGTGGAATTGCGTAAGTGACTTGCTCCCCTATTGACGAAACACGCTGACCAGTCAGATCATCGCCGTTATTACCCCCTACATGGTCGACAAGGATAAGGGTGACCTCAAGGCCAAGGTATTCTTCATCTGGGGCTCACTGTGCGCCTGCGCTTTTGTCTACACGTACTTCCTGATCCCGGAGACCAAGGGTCTCACTCTTGAGCAGGTGGACAAGATGATGGAAGAGACCACACCTCGTACCTCGGCCAAGTGGAGACCGCATGGCACCTTCACGGCCGAGATGGGTCTCACTGCGAATGCTGTGGCCGAAAAGGCTACTGCGGTTCACCAGGAGGTGTGAGGGACGGGATGTCGGTTTAGACAGTGGTTTGCTGCTGACGACGAGTTGGTGGGTCTGCATACATAAGGGTATGCTCGGTTACTATCATGATTAATCTATTCTGCTTATTTCTGTTTACTTTACGTTAGTGATAGCTAAGTAATGACGCATGATACCAATATTTCGTATCTTTGTGACTTATTCCTCTCCTTGTCTTCTCGTACGGTTTGGAGGGTAGAACTCCTGTAACAAATTCAGGCAACTTGGAAATTCCAACGCCTCGCTTAGAGTAGAAAAAGCTATCGGCATCTTTGTAGTGCGGGAACACATATCAGCCCCGCCATGAGCATGTCGCCGTAAAAACTAGGCTGGTGCGACAGGAAGTGGGGATTGTTGTGTCCCTGATCTCCAATCATGTGGATTGTGAGAGCATCCTTATAGTCCATCAAAACAGAGAACTTACTAAGACAACATGGCCGAGTGGTCTAAGGCGATAGACTTGAAATCTATTCTCTTCGGAGGCGGCGGTTCGAACCCGTCTGTTGTCGTTTTTTGGCCCGTTCGTTTTTTTTCTCAGGTGGGACTACCCCACCTATTTCTGATCGAGCTTTTGCTTTCCTTATCAATCACTCCAAATCTACATATTTCCATTTTATATTAGACTTTAATTCATATTGCCAAAATAAGGGCTGAATGTCGATCTTGTATAGTAGTAGACTAGAGTAGGCAGACACAATTCACTAGGGCAATCCATACATCGAGGAAAATCAATAGCAACCCAACCACCCTACACAGTAAAACTAGTGGATTCGATGCATCGTCATCATAACCCTGTGAATTATCTAGATCGAGGGAAGTTCCCGATGGGTCTCGAAGTGAAGTCGTAATCCTCCCACCAGGAACATAAAAATGCTTATGCTCTACGCAGGAGTATATTTTAGCGTGGGGTGGAGTTTGCTGTAAATGGTGCAACCAAGGTGAGAATGGCAGCTTCACTATATCTATAACTATAACTACAACCAGCGTTACAGCAGGGTCTACTTAGTCACAAGAATCATAGTATCTTACTACAGTAAGAGTAGTAGAATGCATCCGCCGTGCCGAATTAGATCCGGCATGGTTCCGCTCTGCCAAGCCACGCCGCGGCGGAGGGCCTACGTACACCCGCCGCCGATCTTCTCTCACTTTCTCTCCGCCCGTTGCAATGCTTCGCAACGCATTTCTTCGGCTCCACGAATCACCTTTCGTTGTTTACTCAGTGTGTGTGCTGCCAAGCCGCCGGCTGTTTGTGCGTGATGAGCCTATTCCTAATGATGTGGATTTGCGTGACGCCCCCCACGGCCTTGCAGGGCAACCCGCTTACGTGACAGGGTGTTTGTCCCTGATTTTGGGGGACTTCTTCTCCTTTCACGTCCCTGGCTAAGATTTCCCTTCGATTAGAGGGTCCTGGGGTCCTAGATGGCTAGCTTACCTTGTCGCCTGAGCAGGTCAAGGGATTACGTGCTGGCCGTCTCCACTTTGTGCCCTTGATGGGAGGCTGTGATCAGGGTACGATGCTGGATGACGACGTTCATACTAACATTGGCTGCTATGACTCTGTGCTGGAGGTGTGCTAATCTTGCGTTTACGTGATAGAGCATGGTCTTTGATCCGCGTTGACTATGCTGTTGATCTATGCACGGCCATCTGCTTGCTTGTGGAAGGAAATTAATCTTCGAACGGTTCAACTTCGGCCCTGTCAGTCCGCGCCACAGTCCTCCGGATACTCTCCATTCAGATCACGAATATTTGGCGTGACTGATGCATGAAATGGCCCGATACTGATTGAACCGGCCAATAATAGCCTTTCGAGGTCCTCGGGCCGTGAAACTGCATGTGTGTCGACATCTTGTTTGCTCCTGGTTGCCAAGTCCGGCGGCATCCGGATCATTAAGCACCCCAAGCACCCCGTGGACAGTTTTTGCAGCAAGGAGATTGATTAATAGGACAACAAGCTTCGGATATTTTGGACATTCAATTGCCGGTGGTGCCAAGCCTCCTCGAACTGGATGATTAAGCGGCACATCCACTTGGTGGAGACGACGATCAACCTGGATCGTGGCTCGGTAGCGAGGGTGTTGAAGTTAGATCTTGTTGGAGCATACTTTGCTGTTGACTGATGACTGGCCAAGGTATTCGCTGTTCTCTTTTCAGACTCATGTAATGACTGGGCTGGTGGGATACGCTCAGAATAAAAAGGCTGACCTGCTTTTGCTGGCAGTATGAGATACTATGGTGACTAGGTTTCAGCTTCCATGGCTACCCTTCTGGTTGGAGACATCTAGCTAGCGAAGCTAGAAGCTTCTCAAGACCCATACAGGTTCCAATTATCGAGATGGGTTACCCTGGACTACCCTGAGCTAAACCAAAAACGCTGCGGACCTGAAAAGACGCCCATTCATGCATAAGCCTGTCACAACTTAGCCATAATTTAGCAACCCCTTCTCCACAAGTGGATGTCGGGCCGCGTCGTCATGGGGGATCGTGCCCTACCTACCAAAGGTCTGGCCCCAGCACGATGAAGCAATTCGAAGCCATCCAAGCCCTTGGCGACAGCTGAACAATTGCCGGCGTTTCATTTGGCAATCTGCTCCCTTGGTTGCGTCAGCTGGATAGCATCGTCTTGACGGGCATGATGTTCTGAAAAAGAGATATAAAGCGACCTGCCCCGGGAATAGATCTCATTAGCATCCAACAACATCCTCATCACCGCTCATTATCTACCTCGATTCTCTTACCCTCCTTTTCAGTTGACATCCATCAAGATGGTCCAGCTTAACACGCTCCTTACCGGCCTGGCTGGCCTTGCCAGCGTCGTCTCTGCTCATCCCGGCCACGATATCCGTGCCGAAGCTGCTGAGCGCGCTGCCTTCATGAAGCGTGCTCCTCGTAGTCTGAGTGACTGCTCTGCGAAGCTCAAGGCCCGCGGCCTTGAGAGGCAGAGCATTGCTCGTCGCGAGAACGCTGTGAATGCCATTCGCCAGAAGAGGGGCCTGCAGACCCGTATGGTCCTCACTTGACCGTTCAGGATCGATCTATACTAATTCAGATACAGACGCTCCCCTTCTCAAGGCTCGCGACCTTGACACAATCCTTAACACCACCCACCACTCGTCTCTGAACGTGAGCCCCGAGACTGACCCCAACGTCCTGTTTGCCTCCAACGCCACCTGCGTTCTTGGCCCGGATGTCACCCAGGGTCCTTACTGTATGGCCATTTCTTCTCCAAAGGTATTTATGTAGCTAACCAGACCAGATGTGACTGGCGAGCTCATCCGCAACGACATCACCGAGACCCAGGAGGGTGTGCCTCTCTACCTGGACATCCAGCTCATCGATACCAGCACCTGCGAGCCCGTCCCCGAGATCTACATTGACATCTGGCACTGCAACGCTACTGTAAGCCATTTGCCACTGACCTCATCTCTTTGCGCCGCGCAATACTGACATGTATAGGGTGTCTACTCTGGCGTGGCTGCCTCCGGCAATGGTGACTCCAGCGATACCTCCAACCTGGACGCCACTTTCCTCCGCGGTATCCAGCAGACCGACTCCGACGGTGTCGTGCAGTTCAACTCCATCTTCCCCGGCCACTACACCAGCCGTGCTACTCACATTCATGGTAAATCCCATCCCCCCTCTAATAAAACCCTCTGATACTGACACAACAACAGTTCTCTCCCACTCCCCCAACGAGACTACTGCTCTCCCCAACAACACCATCTCCGGTCTCTACACTTCCCACGCCAACTACGTCGGCCAGCTCTTCTTCGACCAGGACCTGATTACCAAGGTCGAGGCCACCAGCCCCTACAGCACCAACACTCAGGAGCTCACTGAGAACGCTGATGACAGCATCCTCTCTGAGGAGGCCGACACCATTGACCCCTTCGTTGAGTATGTCCTCCTCGGTGACGATGTGAGCGACGGTGTCTTCGGATGGATCTCCCTTGGTATCGACGTCTCTGAGAACAGCGAGATCACTCCTGCTGCGGAGTACGCTGCTGATGGTGGTGTTGAGAACGACTCCTCCAGCTCTGGTATGGGCGGTGGCGGTGGCTCTGCCCCTAGCGGCGGCGCCGCCCCCAGTGCTTCTGCTTAAGTTTTGATTCGATTGTGAGGTGTTTGTATTTGGTTGTTGCAGATGTAGTATAGCGAGGAAATAATATCAACTTAGTCGCTCGTTTTGCTACTTCTGATACTGGAGTTAGAGATGGAGTGAGCGGTCCGTAAATGGAGTACCGATATGATCTTATTGGATAAGTAAGAGTTGCTGGAAACAATGTGGATATTCATCTATTTCGTTTAGTCTCTGCCTGTTGTATATGCTCGTCACCTGATGCTTCTGCCTGTTTTTCTGTTTACTGCCTTAAGCTTCCCCTTCTCCCAACTCTCTCGCCCAGATCTTCCCAGCATCATCCTCTCTTCTTGACTGAATGTCCCAAGAATCATCCTCTCCCTAGACTGCATCTTCCTCAGCTAGCCATGTCACTACAACTTCTATACAATCCTAGTCAGAAGAAACCTCGACATATTGGGCGATGGATCTCCCCAACCTTCACCGGAACCCCCTTCCATCTATGACGAGCCATGACATTGCAGTGAACTACAACTAACCCAGCCAGCAAGCAACACAACAAAATATCCATCACACAACGCAGAATCACAATCCATCCACTATACGTCTATACACACCACTCTCCAAAATGTCCTCCCAGAACTATCTCCCCAACATCCCTCCCAGCTCCCTCTGCACCACCTACCCCTACACCCGCCCAACCCTCATCCGCCGCCTCTACAAAACGACCGACCCCAACCAAACACCTTACCTCCACTTCACCAACGTCCCTCCAACCCTCATCACCCAATCCCTAGAACAAGACCTTTTTCTCCTAACAAAGGTCCGAATCACTTACGACTCCCCCTCCCGCACGCTAATCATGAAGGGTCACCCTCATCGACAGGAACTAGCCAAGAGGCTCTTTAATAGCGACTTCTTGATGTTCAGATATAATATGGGTAATTTTGCCCTCAGGTCACTCGGTGCTACGACAGTCGCCGAAGGAGACGTCCTGAAGGAGCCGGATTTGAGTTGGCGGCCGCGTGACTTGCCCCCGTGACGGACGAGGAACGTGGCCCAGTCTGGTGTTTCATGTGGGCTGGCCGGAGGGATTGGAGTATTTGAGGCGGGAGGCGAAGTTGTGGCTTGAATGGAGTAAGGGGGATGTGAAGGCGGTGGTGTTGATGGATGTTGGGGAGGGGGAATTGGGGATTGAGAAGTGGGTGATGGGGGTGGGTGAGGGTCCGAAGTTGGATCATCGGGTGGAGGTGAGGAAGTTGAAGGATGGGGTAGTGGTTGTGCTGGGTGCGCCTTTTGTGATCACTTTTCGGGAGGCGTTTTTGAGGGATCCGGACCTGGAGAAGCCGGTGGAGAGGGATTGGGTGTGGGGTGGGGAGGAAATTGAGAAGTGTATGGGCTGTTTGGTGGATGGTTGAGGTTGAGGGGGTGTTGAGTGAAGTGAGCGACACAGACACATGGCTATGACCTAGATTGCTTGTGTAAGATGACGCCTGTATTCCGGTGATACATTTCTATATTGAAATTCCATATATCTATGAGGCTACTACTAATGAACGTGATACTGTGCGTGTTAGATGTAGTAGTACTAATCACCCAACGTGCTCGAGACATAGGGTTAGCTACAACACTAGGAATACTATTCTCATGGGATGATATAATCTTCCCAGAGTCCGGGTATACTAGAACCGTGCTTCCAATTACATTCATAATAGTGCCTCAACCTGCTAGCTGATACAACATGCCAGTCAGCATCTTCTACAGTACAAGGACCGCGCACCAGAAATACTAGCCGTGCAATAAACTTAATAACCTACATCTTCTAGACAGGAAGAGCCTTCATCAAGCCGCGGCATTCTCTATGGACCGTCAAGCTAAGTACATGTCTTAGATGAAGAGGAATGAAATACCGAGGCTATTTTTCGCAAGTACATATTTGTCAGAGTTGATTCAGTCAACAGTCATTAATCAATACGATACGAGGATGAATGCAGTTCTACTGTTATACAACAGGCTGATACGTCTATAATGTAGTACTATCTGCTTATCACCGAGGAAAACCAACATTTGACTCCTGACTGTACGATGTATCCAAGTGAAAAAGAGATACCAACTAACTAAATTAAGCTGAACTATAAACTTCAAACAGACAAGTCCAGTCCAGTCCAGTCCATCTACCATCATCCTCCTTCTGGAAACATCCACCAAAAATATATCAATTATCCCCACACACTCTCTGATTTTACATCTTAACATTGAAAAAAAATAAACCACAACTACACTGCAATCCAATACTCAACCGTCCAATCAATTAGTTAACTAGTTAGTTATTCATGAAGAAATGATGCTGACTAATAATACCCATATGAGGCCCCAGATAGTGGCCAAAACCCCCGCTGAAACAAAACTGCAATGAACAACGGCAAGGTGGTCGAGTGGTTTAAGACGTAAGACTTGAATCTGGCTTTTGGGATGATTACCTGAGATACGGTGATTGTTTCTTATCCAAACAGACGATATCTTATACCTTCGGGTGCGCGTGTTCGAATCACGTCCTTGTCGTTTTCTTTTTTTATCCCTATTCCCATCTTCCCACCTTATCTTTCTTTTGTTCTCCTTTCTTTGCTTTCTATGGATGAAGAGGATGTGATTATGGATGATTATTGGTTTGATTGAGGCTGTGAATTACTATTGTATTTCTATCTTCATATAAGGGAGTAGTAGTTTTACTAGGTATCATCCAGCCGCATATGTACTCATCTTCCTCAACTTCTCCCCAAACTTCCAGAGAAAAACCGGCGCCGGAACTCCCAACGCTATCGCGATAAATGCCAATAGACTATTTCCCCATCCGTAGTCCAGCGCTTGATACATATATGGTGCGAACAGCGGGAACCCGAATCCCGCGAGCGAGCGCATACACGCTACTGCTGCTAATGCGCTGGCGGCGAACCGCGTGTACGAGTCGACGATGTATGTCTGCAGACATTGGAAGGAGATAATATTGCCCATTCCGTACAGGCATGCACCGATGTTCGGAGCGATCCAGTGGCAGTGTGTCTGGGCTGTCCAGCCGTAGATGAACAAGCCGGCGGGAATGAGGAATGCGCCGACGAAGAGCAGCGGGACGCGGAACTCGGGCTTCCCGACGCCGTTGTTCTTACCCTTGAGACGGCGGTAGATGCGATCGTTGAGCGGGGCGCAGATCTGTGAGCCGAGCCAGAAGCCTAGACCTAAGGAGATGTAGTTAAGGCCGCCGATGCCGGTGGATTCGTTGTAGTATTCTGGGCTGGTCCAGAGGGAGGGAAAGGTCGAGAGGACTAGGTACATGGTGCCGTAGATGAAGGCCATGTAGGCCGCTAGGGCTTGGACGATGGGTTGGGTGGAGAGGAGGCGGAAGGGACGGATGAGGGCACCGCGCATGATCTGTCCGAAGGTTTTGTTTTGGCGCTCGAATTCGGTTTGGTAATTTGTGTCGGCGGTTTCTTTGCGGAGTTTCTTGGCGCGCTTTTTGAGGATTATGGGAGCGTAGGTTTCTTGCAGGAAGAAGAGGCCGGCTACTTGGATTACGCCGTCCGCGATGGAGGTCGCGTAGAATACCCAGCGCCAGGTCGTGTTTTCGGCGATGAAGCCGCCTGCGATGGGGCCGACGGCTGGCCCGAGGAGGGGGGCGAGACTGTAGATGGCTACACTTTTGCCGCGTTGTTCGGGCTTGAAGCAGTCTGAAAGGACTCCACCGCCAATCTGGGTTGTTAGATGAACGTGTTGAAGTGTACGAGGGGTTGCTTACTGCTAGTGGAGCGCTACCGCCTAATCCGGCGAAGAATCGACAGACGATCATTTGTACTTTGGTCTGTGATACGCCGCAGCCGATGTTGAAGACGAGATACAGGAGGTTGGCTAACTGTAGGACTTTCACTCGACCGTAGATCTCAGAGAGAGGCCCGAGGAATAGCGGCCCAACGGCGTAAGCCAGAATGAACACGGACAGAGTAAGCTGTGAGATGACCTCGTCCGTGATGTTGAACTCTGCAGATATCGCACTTAGGGCTGGTGCCACCATGGAGGAGGATACGGGCGAGATGAAGGTGAAGCAGGATACCGTCACCACCGCCGCCCACTTCTTCTTCATTGGCCAGTTCTTAGGGTTTTCTGGATCGTCGGGGCCATCCCAGGTGACCTATCCTGTTAGCGCTAGAAATACAGCAAAGAAGTCAGACCTACCAGTTTAGGGTCCGCTCTGGATTTGTCTGACCGTGCAGTCCGTGACTTCTCCAGGCCTGATGCCTGGGCTCCAGCTTCCAGATCACGGTCACGCTCGTTCACCACGCCCCCACGTACTTCGAGGACAGGCTCATCTTTCTCCCCCCGGTCGTCGGACGATGAGTCCAAATCTAGTTCATTATCGCTATGATAGACAGAATGATCGTCGAGATGTCTTCCGGAATGCACTCTTTCCACCTGTGTGGTACTGTGTCTGGACCTCGATCTTGTCCGCGTCCTCAACGTCCCCAGTCTGTAGGGCCGTCCCGACAAGGACCCATCATCTGAGCTAGACAGCGACGTAGACCTCGACCTGGTGGACCCGGCTTCCGAAAACGAATGTTCTTTGGACATAACCACAGACTTTGACCAAAGGCAGAGAAGGGAACTATATCTACAGCTCCCAACCAAGCCGAAACTTAAACAGGAACACCGTAAAAAGAGAACTGAAACCTGGGCCTGGGGCAGCCCGGTTAATTATATCATCCTGACTGAACCATGGCTGTAGAAACGGTGATTAAATCCCCGTTAACACCGATTGTGGGGCAAATTTCTAGAATTTGCACTGGATGAAACCATCATTGGCCAGCAGGTGAAGCTTGATGTCGGTCCACCAGTCAGCTCGGCTCCACGCTTATCAACGATTTGTGCACGGGAGCGGCATGGCCCGAGTCATTATGATCGAAACAGGCAATCCGCCCTGTGAGCATTGCATTCGGGTCATTTTGATTGGCACGAGGCCGTGACTGCGTGTCCGTTGGCGGGAAGCGAGAAGAACTTGCAGAGGAGTTGTACCGTTGCAAACGTGCATTGTCTGGAATGTGACCGGAAAAAGTGACTGGCTGGAGGCTCGGCTGTCGGCTGTCCGGCACGTCACGTGTGTCACGTGAGGCGGCCCCCGCCGCCTTTCTTTGATACTTTGGCCAATTTTGGATAACTTTGCCTGCAGGATGCGATTGACGGGATGCATTCCCTGCTGAGCTGCCTGATCAGCACGCGGACGTCCGATACACCGTCGTGTTACACTGTTGGCGCCTGCATGTCACTATCTTTGTTGCTGCCGATCACTTACTATTCTCCGACCAGACAGTTGACTCATACCGTTCTGGATTTTTATCCGGCTATGCTCTGCTTTCGCGGCAATGCATTGGGGACAATGTTGATGTATGTATGACGATGTATATGCTATTTACCAATCATAATTCGTTGCTCTGTCGATTTGACCTATCGACGCTACCATCTGTTACAAGGCCGTCAGGCACCAGTTCGGATCTCCGATGGCCTGGACCAAAGCAGAGCACATCACCATGCGCCTACTGTCCCTGCTAGTCCAATGCCTCCTCTTTGATCGCAGCGATGTCCTTGTGCCCGATGAGACTCTAGGTAGCACCAATTGTGGGTCTCCACCAGAGAGGATGACCTTGCACATTCGGTTACCGCTGCATCACATCGCGGTCTGGACGGTTCTTAAACACCGCTCGAGATACTGCTCCACCCGCTTTACATCGTCCAATGCAGCTACCGTGCCCACATATCCATCTGGTCGAACAACAGCCAGAGCTCCCTGGGCAGCATCTACACCGTAGATCTTGTACACGTCGTCCATCTCGTAGCCACTGTAAAAGCTCATCTCCGAGTGTCTCTTGAGCTCGGCTGGTAAATCACGCCAAGTGAACTCCCGAGACAGACGGGGATGGATCACTACCTGCTCAATCACGGATGCAGGAAACCGGGGCAGCACTGCAGACCCTATCGTCCGCAATGTCTGGGCAGAGACACCCTTCGGATACAACAGATCATATGACGTGAGACAAAGAATACGGAATCGACCAGTTGACAAGAAATCTGCTCCTGTCAGCTACCGTCGGCTTTTGAGGTTTCAGTGTTTTCCGTGCTTTGCTACACCTGGACTTACCATCATGCAAGTTTCGCCGGTTCCCATCGGCATGTCTACGGTATTTGACGTTCAGCAGTCTCCGACCCGGACGAAGGATGCCAGAGAGATAGTCAGTTCCCTCAATTGGATTCTTCTTGGCACCCTGCACCTTCTGCACGATCGGACTTTCAGGATATTCAATTCCACAGCCACTGGTGAACCCGTTGCCAGTACTGAATACTTCCAAGAACTGCTCGTGTGTCAGGCCGCCTGCGCCGTCCTCTGCTGCGCCGATCTTTCCGGAGAACATGGACGAAAAGGCACGGTCGAACTCTATAAGCTCCTGGGCGATTGTGTGACGCTCAGTGTGGTATGTATCCAGAACAGCATCCGGCTTTCCTGGCGATGACGAGGCGGGTGTGAGACCGTTTATTGCGTATGCAAGCTTCCACGCTAGGTTGTAGGAATCCATCATGGAGACATTCATTCCTTGGCCTGCCTGTTATTTCAATTGAGTAAGTATACCGAAGCCCAACACGATCTTTTAGCGGATGCGTACCTTGGGACTATGGGTATGGCAAGCTGTCACAAATGAGAGTTAGCATGCAGCACTCGATTCAGACGGAATATACGAACCATCTCCTACAATGAAAACCCGATTGGCTCCCTTTGAATCTTTTACTGTGAATTGATCGGACACTCGCTGGCCGATCTGATACGCCGCCCACCAGTCCACGGCGCCGTCCGTTTTCGGTCGGATATAGTACGGCTTGAAGGCTTCGGCCGCAGCATGGAAAATTCCGTCGAGAGTGACCTGGCTCCTGCGAGCTCGAGCGTCCTTTGGCGTGGACTCATTTACTGGCTTCTGGTCCTCATCTGGAGTGGCTTCGTCTGGCACCTGGACATACAACCGAGTCAAGTAGTCACCGGTCGCAATCCGCTCTCGTGGAATAACCATCACTGAAGTGGCTGGGGCATGGATCGCACAGCGTCTCCTAATATCAGGAAAATCGGTATCGACAACAAGATCGACCACACCCCAGATGTGGTCCAGCGACTCACCCACCAAGTTCAGACCCATACAACGACGGACCACGGAATGGGCGCCATCCGCACCAACCAAGTACTTCGATCGAACCGTCCGTCGTTGGCCAGCCGTCTCGATCTCCGCCACAACAGGGAATTCTGAATCGCCATCCTCATCGACTTTCACGTCTAAGAGTTTAGTATCTCGCTGCACTCCCCTTTTTGAGTACCGCAGGAGATCCGTTTCCAGGATTCTCTCAATGCGACCCTGGTGGATTGTGACTTCGTGCTGGAAGCGCGCCGGCACGGCAACATCAGGCACTATCGCCGTCCGTTCAATGATCTCATCCTTGTTAGGCGAAGGGTTCCAGAATGCAACTTCCTCCATATGACATCCATCGGTGAGGATTTCGTCTGCTAGCCCGAGGGTTTTCAGAACTTCGAGTGTCCTAGGTTGGAGGCCGTCCGCCTGGCCAGATTTGAGCGTTCCCGGTTTAGCATCGACGCACAAAAGTGATGTATCGTTCAGTCCGTATCTAGCTAGCAGGAGATTGAGCATCAGCCCGGCAGGACCAGCGCCGACAACGACGACTTCGTATCTCTCTGGGACTCCATCGCGAGGATCGTTCGGGCTGAGGCGAGGCAGGGGCGGCGCGAAGGAGGGAAGAACACGAAGTTCACGGGAGGATGCTGCAAACTCGGTAAAGACAGGCATTTGGCCGAGTCTGTGGTTGTAAAGGTTCGGGATTGAAATTAATACCACTGGTATAGTGTAAAGAACGCACTCGACTTGCAAGGGCTTGTAGCTGGTGGGCAGTGAATGGCAGGGTGACTTGGTTGGAATTTCAATTGCCGGGTATGTTAGAAAGGTACAAGTGTCCAGTCAACCACCGTCGGATCTTGGCCAGCTATATGACTGCTGGGGTATTCCCCACGAAGCCATCTCAGACTGGATATAGTCCCGTCTGGTTTGTTTGGATCCCCTACGCTGGTTGGCCGTGGGTGTATGGCCTCAGGCACCAATCCCCATTATGGGAGGCTGACTGAGCAGAGGTGGAGAGCCAGTTGCTGACGGCTGATTATTAGAATCTCACCAATCGCCCTGATCGGCATCACCCTTGCCGCTTCGCGTAACAGACGAGGACCCCAATGTTTCCATAACCCGCCGATCCTACGCTTCTGACTGGTTGCAACCAACAATACGAATCGTGGACTTACGACTAGCCACTCCATCCTAGCGTTGACAGGTTGCGGCTATGAAAGTGTGGGGTTGCTACGATGAGGTACGCACACAGCACCGTCGGTGATGGAGAAGTTCCTTGGAAACCTCAGTTAAGTCCGACCGTGGTTGAGCGGTATGCAATCTGAGAATCTGTCTGCTTTGACCAATTGACTGCCTTGAGCTAATTGCCTCTACGACAAAGGTCCGTGCTGAAGATGAAATGCCAAAGGTACACCATAGAAACTTGGAATGTCTTCCGAGGAAAAGAGAACTTCTGCCTACCACGGAACCACCATCCTTATGACCTCACGGACGCCACACCCCAGATCATTTGACCTTCTAGACTCAGACTATCCGAAGTGTTGGGCCTCATGAGCCAAGTAATTGTTTAACTCCTCGGGAGACAGGTATGTGCATTTAGTTGAACTGTACGATGTCGCAGCTCATGTGAGGTTCTAAGTTGACCGAAAGTTCTGGCAGACTCCACCTTCTGGAATTGTCAGGACTCGACTTGTTACCAGCCGTGCGTCACCGCTGTAAGATAACCAGAACCAGAGTATCTGTCCATGGGTTATACTTTGCAGGACAATAGGGATTCAGAACACAAAGAAGCTATGTATGAAACGGAGTTAACTCGAAAGGGACAATGCCTGCCATCTTGGATGCACAGGAACTCATGCGGAGGCTGCGGGTCCACCAAGACCCAGAAATGAGTGGATAAATGGTCCGGATGGCAGACCAGAGGATCACTTCCGCCTCCGCTTCTTGCTCCCGCGTGAGGGGGATTTCCGGCCATGAGTTACGGCTGTTCTATTACCGGGGCATTGAAACTGGGGCGTAGTACGTATATCCGGTACCAGAGCGGTCGTGCAGACTACTCTAGTCCACTCTCGTGAACTCAATATTGGGTAGAACCGCTAGTAGGGTGGCCCACATTCGCTTGGTAAATGGCCGTCTTCGGCAGCCAATCCCCCATCTTGGGATACGTGCGCCATCCGGTGAACTGTGAAGCCCCTTCGTCATAGGAGCTCTTCCTCCGGTGGCGCTGGGCGGTTTACTGTCAATTGTTAAATCAAGTGGGGGCAGCATTTGCATCGTTACTTTTCCCATTGTTCGCCTGGCGAGGAGGTTCACTGATAGGCTGGATATACGGATTAAAGTCGGTTACCACGCTACTGCCGGCGCTACTCAATTTCGGGCAGGTCCCGGACTTATCGGGTATGCGATATATCACACAAATGCACGCCATTGGCTAACCGCTAATAGCCGTCACATTGTAAGCCCACTACTACAGGTGCAGCTTCACGCTGTCCAGACAGACCGCAAGGCGACTGTTCGGTCAAGCAAAGGTTCTTCGAACTTGGGCAATGTTGTTGGCTTCTCGTGTGTCAACAGGGCCCTAGAGAGCTCTTGAATTCGAGCATACCCTTAAAGGTCCAACCTGAGACATCTATCCACACGCCTACTTCGTATTCGACCCTCTACTCCGCCAGTACCCATGCTAGTGCCGGTGCCTCACAAGGCAGCCCAAGTCAGAAACGGTAAAGACAACACTGGCTAGTAGACTTCGTTCTCGTGTCTCTTGGCTATATGACCATCCGCAGTCCCCCAGTGGATCAATTTTCTCCCCGGCCGATCACCAACACCCGTGGATCCTCGTCGACTTCGCCTGGAACTCAGGGTTGCTTCGAGCCCATCTGATCGTCAGTATAGACTCCACTTGACTGCCACCGCTGGGGGATTTCCGGGCTGGGGTTCATACCACTCTGTCACAGAGAAGGTCCCTCACTATTACCACGTCAGTACGATCACTTCCAGCCCAAAGCAACACTTTGGAAAGACAAGTAAAGGTGGAAGATTACACAGCTTCCTCCCCGGGCATTGATCGCCAACCCCACCTTAGACAACTCTCACAGCGCACTTGATGGTTGAGGTGGGACGGAAGAACGCCGCGGTCGTTCCTCGCGTCCAGCCGATATTCGCATGAACGCTGACATATTCTGTAGCAGAATGAGCTTATGCACAGAGAGGGGTGGTCCCGGATATACCAGCAACTGCGCAACACATATAAGGGTGACCGTTTTATGCCTTGTACTGCAGCACTTTTCAACACTTAGCCATACTTTGTCTTTAGCCCTACACTGAGAATCATGAATCGCCTGGCACAACTTTTTGGCGTTTCTACTGCCGACGCCCCTGAGAGGACTCTTGACCCGTGGATTGTGCAGGAACGCTCCGTTGACGAAGCCAGACCCCTTAGAGTAGTTGTCATCGGTTCGGGGATCTCAGGTATCGTTGCATCTATTCGCTTCAGACAACGCATCCCCAACCTGGATCTATGCGTGTACGAGAAGAATGCAGATGTTGGAGGCACGTGGCTGGAAAACAGATACCCCGGCTGCGCATGTGGTCAGTAGTGTATCTTATTCCCCCTGCTTATACCTGGGCTAACTCGGCTGGTCTATAGACATTCCGGCCCACACCTATCAGGCCACATTTGAGCCTAACAAGCAGTGGTCCACTTTCTATGCTGCAGCCCCTGAGATATACCAATATTGGAGGAGGGTAGCGGACAAATATGGCTGCGAGAAGTGTATAAAGTTCAAACAGCAAGTCGTGGAGGCTGTGTGGAACGAAAAAGACAGCAAATGGCAACTGAAGGTCAGATACCTCGGATGTCACCATGGGACACAGCAGCTGACAAGCCGGCCGTAAAGGTCAAGGACCTAGATAGTGATTCGGTCTACCCAGACCAGTGTGACGTGTTGATCTCGGCCACCGGGTTTCTGAATGATTGGAAATGGCCGAACATCCCAGGTCTCCATGAATTTAAAGGGAAGCTGATGCACAGTGCTAAGTGGGATGAAAGTTATGACTACACTGTATGTTGAAAATTTCCAAAAGGGTCGCTGATCTGGGCTAATGTCCGTAGGGCAAGAGAGTCGCTGTGATTGGGAACGGCTCCAGCGGTATACAGATTGTGCCTGGAATGCTACCGAAAGTGACGCACATGGACCACTATGTCAGAAGCCGAACCTGGATCTCACCTAGCTTTGCTAGTCAGGAAGTTGAGAGACGAGGTTCAAAAACAGACAACTGTGAGTGTGATTGAGTTGGTAACATGAATGTCTAGCTGATTGAATGTCCAGTCTCGTTCACTCCGGAAGAGCTCGAGACCTTCAACAAGGACCACAGTGCTTATCAGAATTTCCGTAAAGGTTGGCGTGCCTTTCACTTTTGTTCTGCTTGTGCTGACATCATCAGAAATCGAGGTTCAACTACAGTCTGTCCACGGCGCAACCTTGCTAGGCACGCCAGAACAGCTAGGGGCCAAAGATGTCTTCGCCCAGAACATGAAACAGCGATTGGCAAGGAAGCCCGAGTTGTTTGAGGATCTCGTTCCGTCATTTCCGCCCGTTTGCCGCCGACTTACACCTGGGCCCGGATACTTGGAGGCCTTGACCGATGACAAGGTTCAGATCATCACCAGTGAGATCGTCCGGGTTGATGCAAATGGCATCATCACTGCCGACGGGGTGCATCATCCCATCGATGTTCTAGTGTGCGCCACCGGGTTTGACACCAGCTTCACTCCCAGATTCCCCATCACGGGTCGTAACGGTCTGTCGCTAGCGGAGCGGTGGAAGAGTACCCCCGAGTCCTACCTCTCCATCGCCGTCGACGAATTTCCCAACTACTTTATCTGTTTCGGGCCAAATTCGGCGCTGGGGGAGGGCAACCTGTTACTTTTGCTGGAGAAAGTGGTTGACTATTTTACCGCCTGTGTGCAGAAGATGCAGCGGGATAACATCCTGTCCATGTCGGTTAGAAAGGATGCGGTGGAACGGTTTACGCGGCACTGCGACCAGTATTTCTCCCGCACGGTGTACAGCGAGAAATGCCGAAGCTGGTATAAAGGGGGGAAGGAAGATGGACGGGTGATAGGGGTGTGGCCAGGTATGGAATCCTTCTCTTGCTGGTAGGCCTTGATGATCACGTATTGACCTAGCCAGGATCGTCTCTCCACTCACTGAAAACACTTTCGAATCCCCGGTGGGAGGACTTCACCTACGAGTATGTCGATGACAACGCGAATGGCTGGATCGGTGATGGATGGACGGAGAATGAGAAGAATAACGCGATCGAGGTGAACTATCTGGATGATGATCAGGTGGACTTTCCCTTGACTGTGGTTGAGCAGTTGAAGAATTGAGCAGATAGCCGTGTGTGTAGTATGGAGACTCGGCCATTTCTTCTGTTGCCGGTTTGTCTTCTTACCACTCCAAATGGGATTTAGGTTGTTCCCTAGCTGTGGACTGGGTGTGTAGTTCGCCTGGTGTAGCTTAAGCGTGATACTGGATAGTAGTACTAGTAGTTGGTAGAAGTGCTGTGGTGTGTAATCTATCTGCAGTGGATGGCAGTCTCCCTTGTCGGGCCCACCGAGAACCCGCGTCACTCAATGGTAAGATTACCGGGTAACATGCTGATAGCAGCCCATTGTCAGTTGAACCCGAGCGTAAGACGGATACCACGGAAAAGCCAGTAACCAGTCAGTAAGTACGGAACGAGCCGGTCACTTTTCAGGATTACTTTTGTTGGATAAGCAGAAATCCACGAAAAGGAGACCCCAGAAAACCGGCTGGGGAAGGCAGACATCCTTGGCCACTTAACCTTCTCCTCTTTCTGCTGTTTGTTCTTTCTCTCCACTGACCCCCCCGACCTGTCAACTGTCAACTGTCAAAAGTCTCAGTGTTTGAGGGGAATGGTGTCATACCCTCTCCCTCCAGTCTGTCTCGTATCTTCATTTTGATTTTTTATCCCCTCATCATCTTTACGTCTGCCTCCTCTGTAATCTAATCTTACTGTCTATTTATGAAGAGATCGTTGCCGGCTAGATCTCAACCGGAGATCTGACAATCTAGTCACTATCTTTCCCCTTTACCCTGCAGATCGGGAGACGGGTGTTCACAGTGCCACGGACTCCCCCCGACGGCGAACCGATCGCGTTTGCTGCTGCTGCTGCTGCTGACCTTCCGCTCCGATCGCCATCTCTTCCACCTCTTCCACACCCACACAAACCCACCCTCCCTTCAATTAGACTAAAACCACCAACCATCTACCCCGGACTTTCATCTCCCCCCGTTAATCTCACCCCCTCCCCTCCCCCCTCCCTTCTCCCCGATGCATGGCCTTCGCCCCTAACCATGAAGCCCGCGAGCAAGCATTTCTGCTGCACCATCTGTCAGCGGGGTTTCACCCGCATTGACCATCTTAAACGACATCATCTCCGCCGTACGTTCCAACATTTGTCGCCCTTCTTCCTGCATCTCGGCCCGCTTCGGGCTCGTGTCTGGCTCATCCTTCAATGTTCGTCCTGCGCTAACTTCAACCTTGTCCGTCAGATTCCGGTGTCCGCCCTTATTCATGCGTTTTCTGCAACGAGTCCTTTGCGCGTTGGTTCGTGTTCTGCTCTCCCTCTCCCTCCCGCCCCTGGCCCGTCGTCGGTTTCCCGACCGGCGCATGTATGTTTGCCATGGTCGCTCCACCCAACCACGATGCTGATGCCTTCGCTCAACCTTCAGTGATAACCTCCGCGATCACTACACGGACTGTGCCAAGCGCGGCGATCAAAAGATCCCTGAGACCGGTCAAAGAGGCCGAAGGCGACATGCCTGTCAGTCGGCAAGTTCCCCCTGACCTCCCGCCGATCGCATACCCAGCCTCTTGTGCGCCACATGGTCGCTAATTGTCAGAATCTAGTGCACATCGATGAAACTGCGCTGCGATGGTCTGAGCCCATGCAGCTCGTGTCAGAAGCGGAACCTACGGTGTAACAATGAGCGCAAGCAAACAGCCGACAACCTGGAGCTGGTCTCCGGCTCGGCTTCGGTGAAGCGTGAGGACTACGGAGCTTCTTCGGATCGCGGGTCAATCAAGTTTCTCCTCAATGGTGGTACAGACAGTTTCACCGAGGAATTCCTCCTTCCTCCCCGCAGCGATCGCGCTCGCGGCCTAGAGTACCATAATCAGAAGGGTCGGCAAGATGCTGGACAGGGAATGCTCGACTTCCGGACAGGTGATCCGTCAGACTATGCACCTGCGTTCGTCGAGTCGGACCCGGCTTCCCTCTCGTTCTTCCAGGATACCTTTCTCGATTTCTTCAATGGTCCGTTCGGAAATGTGAACAAAATAGTCGGCGATTCTTATACTGGTGGGGCCAACTTCCCTGCAATGGTCCCCCCGATACCAGATCCCGGCCTCGCGTTCGCCCCGCAACCTACATATGAGCCGGAAGAACCGTACGCAGCCGGACTGTATCAGGCGATTCTAGCACGGGCGTGGTCGGTCCCTCTCGATACTCAAGCGCAGGAGCGTTTGTCAACATATCTAAGCTTTTTGTTGACGCCCGCCCGCATCGACAAGTTCGTCCGAATGTACCTGGAGTACTGGCAGCCCAGTTGTGCCATGGTCCACCTTGCATCACTGAATGTGAACACCGTCGCGTTGCCCCTGCTTGCAGCGCTCGTATTCATGGGTGCTACGTATACGACTGATGAGCAGGAGAAGCATGCTGCAAAGCAGGTGATGGATTTTGTTGAACTCTACATTTTCTCCAGCGAGACTTTCTCTCCGGAGAATGAGGTGGCTTTGGCATTCAGTGGACGTCGAATATTTGATGGTGGAAATAATGATTGGATTCAGTTCCAGAACCTGCAGGCCGGCTTCATCATGGTTGTTGCGCAGTACTGGTCGGGTAGCCCGACGGCGCGCAATCGAGCGATGGAAAACCGGTTCAGCGAAGTCATCAAGGTACTTACTATGGACTTGAGACAGGTGACGTTACTGACATGAGCAGGTCGCTCGTCGAATGAGCCTTCCCAAATGTCGTCATAACCAACACCAGGCTGTCTCGGAGTTCCAATGGATTCAGACAGAGTCTCGCATACGGTATGTACCCGTTCCGTCTTCTAATCCCCCCCGCTGACGGTAGAAGTACCATGAGCATCATTTTGCTTCTCGACTGTGCATTTTCCTTCTTCCAGAATTACCCTTGCCGTCTGTCGCATCTTGAAGTCGAGTGCGATTTTCCTTGCGCCGAGTCCCTTTTCGCTCTCGAACACCCGTACTCCGATCGCAATTTCCAGGCCTCGAGGGGAGTTACGATCTTGGAAGCGTTCCACAATCTATTCGAGGAAGATCCCAAAGACACGATGCCTTCCACTCCGGACTCGTCAGCGTCTGGCAGTATGGCTAATCTAACAGTACTCGACATGTTCATACTAATCCATGGTAAGTCACCCACCGATAGCACATGCCCTTGAGCTAATTGGTGTAGTTCTATATACCTTTATCAATTCGCACATGTCACTACTGGGCCCTATCCTCCGGAAGACTCAGAATTCCCACCCGAAGCATCTCTTCAGCTTCGATCCCCCAGAGAAGGGCCAGTCTCGGGCAATTTCAGACGACCTCATGCTAGCCAATATTCGAGTAGCACTGGCTCGATGGCGCGAGCACTGGGTGACATTGAGCAACACCCTCTCGAGCGGGGAATGGGCGTCGATGGGCTTCTTCAAGAACGGGTACAATTTCTGGTTGGTCTCACAACTGCTCATCACGAAGAAGAAGAGCGTGGATGTGGTGATGCAGATGGAGGTCAACTGTGAGGACAAGTTGCAGAAGCTGAAAGTTCTGCTTGATGAAAATGACTGAGGTCATCGTCTCTGATTTACATGTCTAGTGATATATCGATGTCACCTTATGGAAAAAGGGAACCACATATGTATGGGCGCGGGCGTCTGGAGCCATGGGTCTGAGCATAGGACATAACCCCACGGCGATTATATTCTGTCTGTGCATTACTACATATGGCGTGTATTATACTAATGCATGAAAAGATTTGAGTTGTAAGTGAGATGAATCTAGATGCAGTATACTAGTAGTCAATGCACATAACATAGCTGACTCATCCGTATGCATAACTCACATCCAACAGTACCTCCCCAAAACAGAAAGCGGTCACCAGCTGCCCATCTCTGCACCCACCCGACGTCAACAACCATCCTCACCAAGCTTCAAAAAGCTTCCTTCCCTCTCCATCCCTCATCCTCACGGACACCCGTCCCACCCACCATGCCCGACTCGCCCCCGCGGCGACGCCGCTCCCGCTCGCGCTCCCCCCGGCGCCAACCCCCCAAAGGCCCGGGCGGATTCCGCTGGAAAGAGAAACGCGCCCCTCCCCGCGACGACAACAACGAAACCGACCGTCCACTTGACCGCGGCTACCGCGCGCGCTCACCTCCTCGCCGAGATAGCTACAGAGACAATAGCGATCGATACGGAGACAGAGACAGAGACAGATACCGCCGAGACTACAGCCCGGATAGAGCCAGAGATAGGGACCGTGACCGTGACCGTGACCAACGTGATCGCGACTCAACCAAGCCCAAGAAAACCGACAGCGAAAAGAAAGAAAAGAAAGAGAAAAAGAAGAAACTCAAGCCCGCTAGCACGGAGGAAATGATCCTTGTGACGGTTAACGATCGACTGGGTAGTAAGGCCACGGTGCCGTGTTTGCCGTCGGATACGGTGGGCGATTTGAAGGTCTTGGTGGCGGCGCAGATTGGAAGGGCTCCTAGGGAGATTATGTTGAAGAGGCAGGGGGAACGCCCCTTTAAGGATTTTATTACCCTTGGGGATTATAGTATTACTAATGGGGTGCAGTTGGATTTGGAGATTGGGACGGGAGATTAAGTATCTTCTTCGTGTTGAGGGATTGTGTGGGGAAGTGTGGTTAGTCGCTGGTATTAGGTTCTCTGTGGCCATGGATGTTTCGTTCTCTGGTGATGTGGGGATCGGATTGAAGAGGAGTTGGGTGGAGTTGGGGATTTTTCATATTATACTTACTACTGTGACTATGTAAAGTTGTGGAAATGGTACCATGCATCATATCATGAGTATATTCTCAGTAGAACGTGTATCAGTGTCTATATGTCAAGCTGTTTTATTGGTTCAATATGGGTATTGGAACGTTGCCTTATGGTATGTATTGTATGTAATGTACCGCCAGGGAAGTAGGTACCCTCATTACAAGGGTCAGTCACACGACACCGACCACGTTTTCCAAGACTTTTCGTGGCACGGACAGCGCCACGGCTGAAATGTTATAATGACGTCCTGCGTTTGAGGTATCAATCAGTACATTGCTCTTGAATATTGATATCTAGTGCGTCGTCTCAATTACCGTGATCGACCCATAGTGCTACCTTGGTACGGAGTATGGAGTAATCCATTCGACAAGGTTATTCCCGCTGTGGATCGACTAATTTAGTTGCTCCGTGCTGCCGTTAGCCCTAAATCGACATCATGCAGAAAGAACTAGTAATTAAACTACTGCACTTAATATTGTGATGAAATCTTGCTTTTTAAAATAGCTAAACCGCAACCAGAGAACCAATCAAAAACACTCACGCACTCATAACCAGCGGAATCAAACCAAATCAAATCCTACCGTACACCAGCAAAGACCCGACCACCAACCCAACAACTCCCCAACCCCCGCCCCAACACCAAAGCTTCGCAGCACCCGAAGTCTCCTTCCCATTCCCAGTAGCAGATCCAGACCCATCCCCACTCGACGAACTCTCACTCCCATCTCCACTACTCGTCGAAGACGAAGAAGAACCCTCTGAACTCGAATCATCTCCTGAATTAACAACCTCAAACACGGCCGAATACTTCACCCTCCCCACATCCTTAACATCCACAATGGCAAACCGATAATCATCCCCACTCTGCACACTCCCCGGCAACACACACGCCACATCCCCGGAATTAGCAATATCCGTCGTGATAGTCGTCACATTCTTCAGCCCACTTCCATCCGCAGTTCCGTTGCCATTGTTCAACTCCCCCTCCATGAGATAAATACTCACCTCGGAGACATTCCTCTCCACTTCCCAGGTAATAATTGTTGTTTGCCCTGTCTTGACGATCTCCCCCTCGGTGGGGTAATATGTTGTCGAGGCGTTGGTGGAGGATGAGATGGTGAAGGGGGGTGAGGTGTATGTCTCCGAGGAGGAGGAGGGTTCTAGGACGACGATGTAATCTGAGCCTGTCCCTACGCGCGATGGCGGTGACCAGGAGATTGAGCCTGAGTTGGAGATGTTGGTCGCGATGGTGTAGAGGTTGCTTGTTTCGTTGGTGGTTTTGGAGAGGTGGATGGAGAGTTTAGAGGTGCTGGGTGCGGTCGTGTTCCAGGATATTACGGTTGCGGTGTTCAGGGAGATTATGGCGCCTGAGGTGGGTTCGGTTATGCTGTAGGTTGGGGTGCTGCTGCTGGTCGTGGTTGCGGCGGTTGTGGTGAGGGTGGATGATAGGGTGAAGGCTGTTAGGAGGAGGGATTTGAGGGTGTGCATTATGATGGTGGCGGTAGTATTCGGCACTGAATTTTCGTGTAGTGTGAGTTGAATAGAGTTCAATGATGAAAATCTAATGTCAGTAGAACATGAAATCTGATCCTGCAACGAGCTAACCAAGTAGAAATAATTGTTATTGGGCTGTCAAGGGATAATGTTTGGTTTATGAGCTCATTCCATTCCTTGCGTTGGGGTTACCCGTAGTACTGCCATGCCGGCAATAGTATTATCCAGGGTGGCTGTCCGGCATGCACGAACCGGCCCTATTTATATCCCAGGCAACCATCATCAATTATGGGTCTCGTTAACGTACCCGATTGGTTGTATGCAGGATCCAGGGAAAATGTCTATCCCTAGCGTGATAACGGCCCTGTGCAGGATGCTGTATGCAGGTGCTGTAGGTAGTGGTTCCTGGTATATGATTATCCACTCGACGGGCTAAGTAGGACTTTGGTAAGCGAGTTGTGGAGATAGGGCTAATTAAGGGGAGTTTCTTATAGTGATCACTTAGGCGGACAGGTAGACTGTTTAGTCTATTTTACTGGCTCCCTGCTTTATAGATAGTTTCAGGCAATGGCGTTACCGGCGAAGATGTTCCGAGGAGAGAGTGCTTTAAGGTTCAAGCTGTGGTCTTGATATAATACTTTCTAAGCAACTATTCCCATTGGATTCTTCCGATTACTTTGCTTCGTTCCAATAATCTACATAAGACTCTAGTAGTAACATTTTCAAAGGGAGCATATGTTCATTAATATACCTTCTATATATCACTTAATGTCTGTCCTTTTTTGGTGCGCATACCTCTCCTTATGATCTGATTCACATCGCTACTAGGCCACTTTCCATATTTTCAATAGAATCACCCACCGTCTCTAATGTTAGGAGATCCGTATTCCGTCTTCATGCTAACATTTGCTCAGTTCGTCGTTGCCTTGCGACCTCGACTTCCTGAACGGCATTGTTTCGCCAATCATGCGCTGCCATGATTACCCTCGAGCTGGCTTATCTTTACACTTACTACCCATACCATTTCCAGTACTGTCGCCACCGCATCTGTCACCTCCCGAACTGTTCGTCAGTCTCCAGCACTTACTTCTCCCTGAAATGTCAGTGACCTCAGTGTCGATCTAGATACCGTGCAAGGGAACAGAACATGTGTATATCTCTCTGGCATCCGATGTGTCTACTCCATTACTGGCAGGCATCAACGCGCTGGGGTCGGTTGTCAGTATCTAATCGCTAACAAAACCCTTTGTCTTCCTGGCATTTGTTCTATCTATCTGGTGCAGCCTAATGACACCTGTTCATCCATTCTCTCCAACATTTCCCGGAAGGTTTCTCTTCCTATTTTCCGATCATGGAATCCCAGGGTTAACTCGCAATGTTCCAACCTTGATACCTTAGTTGACCAATACATTTGTCTAAGGTAACGCTCTTCCCTATACTGTTTTTGATACCGACATGACAGAAACACTGATTCCCGTGGCACAACAGTCCCCCGGGCAGTTTATCTGTTCCAACAGCCTTTCCTCTACGGCCTGCTAGTTCCGCAGTGTGAGAGAACCTTTGATTCTGGAAACAAGATAATACACGCTGCTAATACCCAAAAGTCCAATTCCAAGCAATGCAGTAACTACCTCATACACTGACTGCGGTTATTGGCACACCATTCAAATTAACGAGACATGTGACACCGTTACAGAAATGTTCGGTATATCGGAAACGGACTTCTACTTTCTGAATCCTCAGCTAGGCAACAGCTGCTCTAGCCTATGGCAAGGCAATAGCTATGTATGCGATTCATTCCCCTAGAGCCATCATGGAGGAGAACTTATTTGAATCTACAATTCCACTAGTGCGTTCAAGCGGTGGGCAATATCAACACCTATGCCGGCTATTCAACGACAAGCCGGACGGCATATACCACATTGGCTTCAACTATCATTCTGAATGCAACTGTTACCGCCGACCGTACTACAACGTAAGTAATTCTGTTCGATAGCTTGGGTTTGTGATACTGAATCGGTCTTCAGGTGGCTGCTTCCAACGAGCCCCGACCTTCGCCACCGATACAACTACGTACAATAATACTGTGTGGGAAATGACACAAAATTACACTCTGTCGACAAGCTATGGCATATTACAATATCTCTGCAGATGATTCCTTGACATCCGAGATGCTTAATGATGACGCTTTCATGGAGGAATACGATCGCGTCTGTTTGCTCGATCTCTCGAAGCCGTTGCCGACTCAAGCCTTCAACACCAGTATCTCACTGGTGACCTCGATGACCGAGACGGAATCCTATACCAGTCAAATGATAGTCATTGCAGCAGCGCGACTAACGGCTTCCATCAGTTCAGCGTCTGCTACTAACAGCGCGAGCACGACGACTACTAGCAGCGTTACTCAATCTTCTGAAGCGACTTCTACGGCATCTTCGTCCGTGAACACCTCCCCAGATGGCACTTGCGGCGAGTCTACCGGGTATTCGTGCACCAACTCTCAACTTGGAACTGCAGCATCAAATTTGGCTACTGGTGAGTTGAACCAGACTTCGCTTAGAGTGATGACTAATTGGGTTTGCCCCCGACCACGATCAGTGGATCAACGAGCGACTACTGAGAAACCAACTGTGTCCCTGGATACGGCGAGTGCAAGCCTTCCTCCATAGCCAGGGGTCTGACTCTGGCCTCAGCATTTACGGCGACCCCGACATCCACAGCCAATATCTCGCCAAATGGTCTGTGTGGCGCCAATCATGGAGGCTATACCTGCCTGAACTCACAATTTGGCAATTGCTGCAGCCTTTATGGTTACTGGTACGTGACTTGCTGTTCGATGCATGCGACGAAAATTGTACTAATGAGGTCGTTCCAGTGGATCGACCAGCGACTATTGTGCCTCGCAATCTTGCGATAGCTCCTATGGAGAATGTTCTGCTTAAGTCCGAGACTTCCGAACGCTTGTCGACCTTCCGATCCACCAATCACAGGCGAAGACCCCGGAAGCTCGGATGCATACTTTGTACTAAGACCCTGAGTAACCAGGGATGCGGTCCCGCACTACGATATTAGCAAAGACAAGAAATCAATCCAGAGCCACATCTTCCTTCTTTTAGAATGTGGGATTGTCTATACTAAAACCTGAGAGAAAAGCTTTGAATGGGACCAATTGGCCGGCTACTTAGCCGGGATTCCCCGGCCATCGCATGATTAGTGTGAAGAAATTTCTCGCCTCCCAGTCAATTGTAGCTGGCCGTAGCACCCTTCGTACCCTGCGCATCGAGCATCATGAACCATTCAGACCCTTGATTATGCAAGACAGTACCATGGATTTGCTATGGGAGCAAAAATGCGCTTCTGCGCTTTCCATGATGAGTAGCTAGCTATGTTACCATTGGGTGTGGGTTCCAGGGGACTAACTAACACTTTCGGGCGTTCAAACTAACACAGTCGCGTGAGGCTTTTTCATATTATTTTTTGTTTCTTTTCTGTATCTGAGGCTTCTCCAGACTGGTGATGGAATTGGAAAAAAGAGATCAAGAATGTTGCCTACACTGAAGGTTGCCTAATGCACTGTTAAGCTTCGGAACCGGCCCCACCTAGGGTTTTACCATAATCCGGCCCATCCTACTATTTCCCTATCTCCCCTTACAAATGAAGTCAGTTCCTGTATGTTTCCTGGTCGTGCTGGCTAGACCCCTCACCATCTTCTATTCCCAGAATGCTTCAACTTGAGCCACTTATCCCACCCACCGATCTTTGGCCCGGCGGTATCCCAGCATGCCTTCGTGTAGAGCCCAGCTCCGTAGAGTGGTCCGATATGGTCGAAACATCCAAAGGCTGGCTCCAGTTTGTACAGGTTTGGGCTAGCCATATCACCTTCATTTTCTTGTAATTCATCTAACAGGAATTGTAGGAAGAATGGACCGAATCAGAGAGTCTTGATGAAGAGCTCCAGCAACGCCGCCGCTTAATGGAGCGTTGGGCGTCTGCAAGTCAAGACTTCCGTGACGTAAAATAAGACCTGTGCCCTCAGTGTTCGAAACCCAGCATTAATATTTGATGGTAATAGTCCTATCAAAATCGCGCGTCCCTGCCAGAATCAGCCGTCCAATATCCCATGCCATTGCTCAAACGAGTTAGGCATGCTCCGAAACAATTCTTCTGTCTCGCCCCGGTAGATCGCGAAAGTCATGCGACCAATTACACCCGGCTGGTCAAGCTACTAATTCTCCTTTACACTAGCCTACGTCGTGGAGGGAAGTCGCATCCGATGAGCTTCGAACCTGATCCATACCCACAGATTCCAGCCGTATTCCCGGACCATACCAGATCTTCACCTGCACCTGAAGCTTTGATACCACAATACTGTCTTGAATCCGCGGACTTTCGCTATATCTCGATGACGCACACTGGAACAGTATTATTTCCACGCTTTAATGATACAATTTTCACAGTAATTGACCAGGAATCTTTGAACACTGGCCAGCTCATCATGCTTGAACTTCACGTGAATGGACAGATCAAAGACTATACGCGTCTACGCCCTTGGCATGCAGGCGAAATCATGATGTATCATAACGTCCAGGGCTGGCCCTTGGCGGAAATGATCGACTGGTCTATGCGTGCCCGTTTCCTCCCGAGAAACAATCCGTAAGCAAATCTCCCACGCCCAATTTAATTCATGGACGGAATCCGAGAGTAAGTCTAGGGGATTTTGCTGATCAAATGTGACATTATCTTCATTCTCTCCTACGTACAGTCTGGATCTAGATCAGCCGCTAGTTGACATCATCGACTCGGCCCAGCAGAAACGCGAACTCGACATCCACGGATTCACACGGGAGCTCTTGACGGCGCAGATTGAGGTCTTTGCGCCAGGGTATCTTGAGTTGGAAAGACAAGGGTTGGAAGTTCAGTATGATCTTGCCAATTTGATGACTGGAGATGATATTCGCGCCTATAATTATATGATTCCCCCGGGAGATCCCGCCCGGAGACAGGCGCCGTCAGGACAGTGATGAACGGGAATTCCACTATGCGGCTTTTGTTCTCTAATACTTGTGTATTGGGGTTCGCATCTGTCAGTGGTTCATTGTTTTACACAATTATTCTTGGACTATGCACCTCTCTTAGTGATTCATGTGCTCATTTATTTTCGGAAATCTACGCAGGTCACCTTAGGAGACCCACAGCCACATAACTCATGGCGATACTTGTCCTTTGTGAATGAGTGTATAACGTAACTCCCGGCCGCACCAGCCACCCACCTACTACACATCTAATATATTTAAATCTATATATAAATACCCTCCCTCCTCTTCTCTACTTAAAGCTATTTAACTACTAACCATACCACCAATACAGTCTAAAGCATCAAAAGATGCAGCAGAACAGGAAGACAGAATTCTATTTATTATTAAAATTTTAAAAAAGTATTAAATTAACAGTATTTATAATATTATATATTTTTTTATTATTGTGATAGAATAACCTAGCTATCGGGATAAAAGTTATCGGGATGACGTATTATAATGGTTGTGAGAGTCATGAGATCATTGATAATAGTTCTATATCTCTCTGGTACCTATAAGATACTGATTTCTTTATAATAAACTACTAATCTCTCAAAGATCAGTCTATTTCGTGGATATAAATTATCTTTATTATTATCAGATAAATATATAATATTTAATAATTAATTCCTTACCTAGTTGACAGGCTTTTTATTCTAATAAATAGATTTTATTATATTCTGATTCTTTTACTTTAACTACTTAAGGAAGATGCCACTTATTAAAAATAATAAAAAAATAGAAGTATTCAGTAATTAAATTAATCTAGAATTATTATTAAATACTATCCTTACTGTTAAAGAGATTTAACAGTTAGAAGATTATATTTATTAATTAAAATAAATTATTAATCTGCAGCGGAGAATAATTTATTTTTAAAAAAATAATTCTTTAAATAAAATATTTTTAAGATACTACTGATTCTTCTTTAAATTAGATAAGGATAAGAAAGAAATTAAATTTAAAAATATTTTTTATTTTATTTTAAATTTTAATTTCTAAAAGTATCAGGAATAAATTATTAATTTAAAATATATATTCAGAAACACTCCTAAGAAGTATTTATTAAAAAAATACAAGATTTTTATTATTATTAATTATATAAACTTATCCTGCAGGCAGAAATAGTACTGTTTTATTAATAATAAAAATCTGGAAAAAAGACAATTTCTTAAGAAATTATAATTTTAATTTAAAGATTAGATTTTTATATTAATTTAAAATATTATTATTTTTTAATCTGATATTATAGTCCAATTAGAATGGGCTTACCAGTGATATAGCCAGAATCTGAGAGAGTTCTATATATATTTTAATATTTTAAAATAATATTTCTCTTATTAAACAGAGAAAGAAAAGGTTTTATTATACTTTACTAAATTATTTCTAGATTTAAATTATTATATTTAAAAGCATGTTCCATACTTATTAAAAAAATAAAATAAAATAATAGCTATTATTATTTATTATTATAAACTGTGGGAGAATAGAGAAAAATATAAATAAAATAATAATTAATTTAATAATTATAAACTATACAAGTACTTCTAAGAAATTATCAATAAAATTATTAAAAAAGATATTCTGAATTATAAGAAAAATCTTATTAAAAAGAATAATAATTAATTATAATATTTTATATATAAAAGTATCTAATACCTTGTGAACCAATATTTTATTAAAAGTAAAAAATTTTAATTTACTAGAATCTACTAATCCTCATCAGATTCAGAGGAAAAAGTAGAGAAATTAAAATAAATTTTATAATTTTAACTTCTCTATTTATAGTAGAAACTATATATTATTTTTATATTTTTATTTATATCTGAAATAGTCTTAAAATCTTTGCGGATCTAGATAGCTGCGCTGAAGTAAATATTATTAATTATTAGTTTATTAAAATTTATAATCTTTAATATATTCAGTTACTGCGCTAAAGATTAAAGCTATTAATATGATAGAATAACCTAGCTATCGGGATAAAAGTCATCGGGATGACGTATTATAGTAGTTATGAGAGTTATGAGATTATTAATAATAGTTTTATATCTTTCCAGTATCTATAAGATACTGATTCCTCTGTAATAAACTACTAATCTCTCAAGAATTAGTTTATTTTATAAATATAAACTACCTTTATTATTATCAGATAAATATATAGTATTTAATAATTAATTTCTTATCTAGTTAACAGGCTTTCTATCTTAATAAGTAAATTTTATTATATTCTGATTCTTTTACTTTAACTACCTAAGGAAGATGCCACCTATTAAAGATAATAAAAAAATAGAAATATCTAGTAATTAAATTAATTTAGAATTATTATTGAATACTATTCTTACTATTAAAGAGATTCAACAGCTAGAAGATTATATTTATTAATTAAAATAAATTACTAATCTGCAGCAGAAAATAGCCTATTTTTAAAGAAATAATTTTTTAAATAAAATATTTTTAAGATATTACTGATCCTTCTCTAAATCAGATAAGAATAAGAAAGAGATTAAGTTTAAAAATATCTTTTATTTTATTTTAAACTTTAATTTCCAAAAGTATCAGAAATAGATTATTGGTTTAAATATTAATTTAGAAGCGCTTCCAAGAAATATTTATTAAAAAATATAAGATTTTTATTATTATTAATTATATAGATCTATTCTGCAGGCAGAGATAGTACTATTTTATTAATAATAAAAATCTAGAAAAAAAATAATTTCTTAAAAAATTATAATCTTAGTTCAAAAACTAGACTTTTATATTAATTTAAAATACTATTACTTTTTAATCTAATATTATAGCCTAATTAGAATAGGCTTATTAGTAATATAGCTAGAATCTAAGAAAGTTTTATATATATCTTAATACTT